GCTTCAACTAGCCAAATCTTTTCACTAATTCTAAGAAAATCTCATATAGACTGCACAACTGTCCTGAGAATATCTTTCTCAGAAGATGGGATAGGAGAAAAAGGAAGAGCATATATCTGTATGTTGCTACTTTCTGTCCCATAGTCAGAGCATGTTAGTCCGTTTCAAATCTGATCAGAGTTCATTTATTGTTGTCTCAATAGTGAGGCCAACATTGAGTGTCAGTGGCAATGGGTGCAAATGTTGGAAGACCTGTAAGACCAGGTTAGGGACAGATAGTCATGGAGGAAATCTATCTATGTGGTCGCTAGGAGTCAAAAGTGACTTGATGGCACAGAATCAGTCAATCAATAGTGAGGCCTGCAGGGAAACGCAGAGTTTGCACCAGAAAGGAAAAGCTTTGAGGGAAAGCAAGGCAGACGTTGGTCCAACAGCCTGCTCCAACATGATTAAACATAGTTAAATGACTGGCAGGATAAACCCAATCCTAGTCCAATGTGGATTTGACACATACTCTTGCAACATCTCACAGTTCATCTTTCATTTAAGTGTTTTCAAAAGATTGTAACAAAGTGAGTGCATGAAGAAAAAAACCTGATTCTCCCCATCCCACACTACTGCATCTCAAAAGATCTGTAAGTTATTAGTAAATGCTAGTTTAGTACTAAGCGTACTAGCATAGAAATTAGGTCCAAGCAGAAACAGTAATTTCATCCTTATATTAGGGTCAAAACTTAGGGAAATGGGAGAGTGCCATTTAGCCATAATAGTATTAGATTTTATTATTATCAGATTTTTATCCCACCTTTTTATATATGGCCAACTCAAGGCAGCAAACACATCTAATACTCCTGCCTCCTACTTTCCCCACAGCAACAACCCTGTGAGGTGGGCTGGGCTGAGGGAGAGGGACTGGCCCAAAGTCACCCAGCCGGCTTTCACTCATAAGGGAGGCCTAGAACTCACTGTCTCCTGGTTTCTAGGCCGGCACCTTCACCCCTACACCGAACCGGTTCTCATATGGCATCAAAGGCCATCGCTCTTCAAGATGAGCTCGAGAAGAAAAACAAGCTGTCATAAATTGGGGAAATGTCCTTCTGCTTTCTGATATGTTCTTCCCTCCCTGGCATCCTAATTTAAAACTTTCAGCTCAGTGATAAGCTTTGTCTGGGACAGCCCCGCATACAGAAACGATCCGCCAACTTACTTCCACGCTGGTGGGGCAGCATTCCACCGCCCGGCTCAGCATTATCCTGGCATCCTCGGGTTCTTCCAATTCAACAGCCGCCTTCCATAGGCGGACTGAATTTGGAACGTGCTCCAGTGCTAGGAAAGAGAAATGGAAAAAAAAAAAAAACAGCCATGCTTTCTTTACCCAGGACAGAACCATATCCAAGCTGCCAGGTCTAATGCAATTTGCAAATTTAATAGAAAGGGAAATCTTTGAAGCATACCATGTAAAGGACTCACAAATGCAATGCAGCTGCTACATTTTAGAAATGGAGAAAGGCTGCAGTCAAGAACACACTTGACTTCTGCAATTTAAAGAACTGAGGGCTGGCCCCGGGGAGAAGGGATTATATATCCAACCTTCCAACTATCATTTTGTTTCTATCAATTCTGTACTTAATGCACTTCCTAAAATTACGCTCCAGTTCTCTTATCAGGAAAACTCTTGTCAGAAGCATCAATTTTCACAGTGGATTTCTGTGATTTCAAAAAGGCTGACTCAGTTGCTCATCTCGGCCCCTGTGTGAACTGACATTTTATGAATAAGACATAACCCCACTTAATTCTTTCCTGCCACTCAGAACTACTGACCGATAACATCTCTCTATTTTAAAAAACATTCCTTGCTTCCTTTTAACATCCTGCCTGAGGAAGAGGGCTCTAAAATCTGAAAAGTTCAACAAAACATCTTGGCTGGCTCTGACAAAAGTATTAGTTTTCTCTACTGGGCCAAAAAACTCTGATTGTTTTGCTTTCAAAAAGGCTTGGGGAGAGTTTAAAGGACATTTTTCCAAAAAAGTAATCCGTACAGTGCCCCCAAAACAGATTGTTTTGGAAAATATGTTTTAAAATACTGAAAGACTAGCTTTAATAAAATGAAAGGGCTCGGCACAAAAATTTTCTTCTTCAGTAACCTAACAGAGTTTTCTCCACAATCTCTGAAGAAACTGACTTTCACGTGGCCGACGGTTCAGCGGTTCGAGTCCAGCCTTCGCGTTAAACAGGGTGAGCTCCTGTTTCCTCCCCAGTTCCTGCCACCCCAACAGGTCGAAAACTCACGTGAGTAGATAAATGGGTACTCTCACTCCAGTGGGAGGAAAAATGCTGGTGGCGCCTTGCAAAAAGGAGTTGGGACCAGTTGCTGGTAAGCACGAAAAACCGCATGCGCCCGAAAAGGGCGCGAAGCAACGGAAACCCCGCCTCCTGTGCTCGCCAGCTGGGCTCTGCTCTAGGGATGAGGCTATGGCAAACCACTTCCGAAAAACAATTGCCTTGAA